CCCCCCTTCTGTGGTGCCTCGTTGCTCTTCGGTTTTCTCTTTGCCGAGCCTTGAGTATAGTTCTGTTGGATATTTCAGCATGCTAGCTCTCTTTACTTTCATATATTTTGAGGCATTCACTTTAAAAGCATATGAAGGATAGGAATATGGGCATGTTTTAGGAGTTTGACTTGGTTACTCGCTTAGAATGGTGGGAGTATAGCATGTCAGAAATGTTCTCCTTCTTTCTACTTGTTTGAGATGAAATAGTGGCATAACTCTATTATCGTGAATAGGAAGCTTGAAATATGGTTTTGAAATGATTCTGACACTTCTTGCAAGCATGTTGGGATATGAATTATGAAGCTTTTCATTTCTTTTTATTTTATTATTTAGCATGAGATATGGGAGAGGTTATTTGGCCTTGCATGCATGTTGGGGGCTCGGTTTTGGTTTCCTGTGGCTTCCCCTGGCTTGAAATATATGCTATGAGAAAACTTATTTAATTTGGAAAGTATTACAGCTTGTTTTGAAGGCTGGGTTTAGCTCCTTGTGAAGTGTCTCCTCTGTTCATATGCTTGTTGAATAATTTCATGCTTAGAATGTTTAGAGATGCAGGTTGTTCCTCGGGCTTAAAATGGCTAGAGCTTTAATGTTGTATGGCTCAATTATATCAATGCTTGGGCTTGATTTAATTTTGTTGAGTTCTGATTTTTGGCTTTTGAGTTTTCGTTGAGCTCAATTTTGGCTTCTTATTTCTCGTCGAACTCGGATTTGGTTTTTGGTTCTTGTTGAGCTTGGTTTTGGCTTGATTTGAAGTCACGGTTTTGGGTTTGAAATGGTTGGATATTTAATGCTTTATGGGAATTTGGATTTTAATGTTGCTAGGCTCGATTTTGGGCTTTAAATGGTTGGCTTTGGTTTTACTTCTAGTTGGAGGCCGGCTTTAGCTTTACTTCTAGTTGGAGGCTGGCTTTAGCTTTGTTTCTATTTGGGGGCTGGCTTTGGCTTTGTTTCTGGTTAGGCTGGCTCGGGTTTTGTTTCCTGTTGGGAACTTGGCTTTGGCTCTGTTTCTTGATTGAGCTTGGTTCCTAGTCGGATTTGGCTTTGGTTCCTGGTTGGCTTTAGCTTTGTTTCTAGTTGGGAGCTGGCTTTGGCTTTGTTTCTGGTTAGGCTGGCTCGGGTTTTGTTTCCCGTTGGGAGCTTGGCTTTGGCTCTGTTTCTTGATTGAGCTTGGTTCCTAGTCGGATTTGGCTTTGGTTCCTGGTTGGCTTTAGTTTTGTTTCTAGTTGGGAGCTGGCTTTGGCTTTGTTTCTGGTTAGGCTGGCTCGGGTTTTGTTTCCCGTTGGGAGCTTGGCTTTGGCTCTGTTTCTTGATTGAGCTTGGTTCCT